CTACCTTTTGTGGTGGTAGAGAGATAACAGGGAAGATTGACTCACATGTAATTTATGGGAGTGTGTCAATAGTAACTGCAGTGCTTTTGCTAGCTTATGGGTTTTCACCCGGAGGGGTCAGCTGGGGTGACTGCCAGTTTCTGTCTTGACAGGTGTTGAATGGCATTTGCCAAATATCATTATGCTGGAGGGGTGATTTGATTATATTTCTCTATATTAAGCAAGAAGCTTGCAATCTAAAATGGAAGATAGGCATGCTAACAAATGGAATCACAATGTGATAATATAAAAATAGAGAGGCCTATATAAATACAAACAGAAGAAAAAAATACGAAAAGAGAGCATCCTATCTCAGGCATCGCAGAAGGGATGCTCTATAAGGAGGAAGACCGAATTTAGCAGATGAACAGGGAAAGAAGAGAGTTCTAAGCAAAGGAGCTAGATGGTGGAAAGAAAAGAAAGCATGAAATGGTTTGTAATTAATGAGAAGCAATGAACGGCTTGGTACTACTGGAGCACTGAGGAAAGGGGAGAGTGGCAGAAGATAACACTGAGAAGGAGGCAAGGGCCATGGGATGGAGGATCTTATAGCTGAAGTGCTATAAGAAGTGCTTTATCCAATAGGTAATGCAGACTTTTTTTGAGAGTTTCTGAGTATAAAGAAGTCATGGTCTGATTTTCTTTTCAAAGGAATGAAAAGAATTTGTTTGGGGATCAGTTAAAGACACAAATTAGGGGCAAGTCAACTGGGAATCTTGCAGAAGCATCTGTCTACAAAGCCCACTAAATATCATTGACCATGTTAGGCAATCAAGAAAATACTGTTTACCAAAACTTCCATGTATGGATGGATGGAAGTAATAAATTTAAAAATACAGACTCTGGGGCCCTCCCTGGTGGTGCAATGGGTTAAAGCACAACTATGAAGCCATTGCAGCCATTGCAGCATAAGTTTGAGCCCCAGTAGTTTGATCCTCCCCAGAGAGGTGACCCACATGGCATGGCAGACCTCTCCTGACCCGCCCACTGCTCCCCTCAGCAGTGTATTTCAGCGATCTTCCTGTTCTGTTCCCCTCTCTGTCTCTGGTGAATCCTCTCACCCCACACATACCTCTTGCCTGTACCCTAGTTCTGTATGAATAAATTAATAAGCCTTAAAAAAAATGCAGACTCTGGAATCAGACTGCTTTGGTTTGAATTCTACCTCCACTGTAAGTTCCTTACAGAATTTCAGATTTAATTAGGAACACTTGATATACCCATTCCCTCTGAGCCATCTCTGAACCATCTCTCCCCTAGTCAAAAAGAATAGTATTACATTCATTCAGTTGCTTAAACAAAAACCTAGAAGTCCTCTGCAAAATATGGCACCAGTTTTTTATCTTTTCTTATATTCATGACTTTGGGCATGTGGCACAGTAGTTCTCACTAAAACTGAAATGGTAGGGACTATTTTCAAACCCTTTTAAATATGAGCTGGCATCAGACCTTGTTTTGGCTAATAAATAACAGTTAAGCAAACTCCAGTTCTGAGAACAAGTCATTTGGCAGATGTACCTAAAAGTATCAAAAGGAAGCAATCTATTTGGCAGATACAGAAATTAAACAGGAAGATCTGATTTTACCAAAAACAAGAATTTGAGATGGAGAAAAAGAAGAGCTGACAGAAAAATTAACAATGTATTGGCAACCCAATATATGGCAGTGTAATGACAGAAGAATACAGTTTAATCTGAGAAATAATTACATTTGGAGCTTTAGAAGAAAAAAGATCAAGATGATATTTTGTAAAGTATATAGCCCACTTACTCTCTAATGCCATACCAACAAGAGAATGGGAGAAATGGATTATTCCTAAGGTCAAAGCTATTTGCTGAAAAATAGAGATGAAACCAAACTTCTGGAGAATGGACATTGATAAGTACTAATTAATATTTATAGGATACTTTTGGCTTAAAAAATGTTTTTGCATATTTGTTTTAGACCTACAGAACTTGGGGTCAGTGAGATTCAAAACATAGTAATTAGTTTTCATCCTGACTTTAATCAAGCACACTACCATGATGACTAACACAACCCATGCATCTATAAGTTTTCCAGGAATGAATTGTCATAAATTGTACTACTTAAAAGAGTCCTCAAAGAGCTATCTTGTAGGATCTATAGGTTGAAAATAAAACTCAAAGTGCATGCAAATGCAAATATAACTAAAATCAGTTCCTATTCTTAAACAACATGACTACAACTCCAAAATTCCAAAGGCAGAGATATGGTGCAGTTGTACACACTTATAGGCATGTGGTACAGTTGTACACACCAGTGAGACAGGTTTTCCTCTCCTAGTAGTGCTCTTCAACAGAAAATGCAGTTTGTCAAATCTCTATCACTCAATGACTAAAGGTTTTCTGGAGTCTGGCTACCACAAAACCTTCTACTTTGGATCCTTGGAACGGGAGGTAAAGTAAAGAAAAGCAACTGGGTGCTGGTACTCCGTAGACTGAACAATTTACAGATATCATAACATGACCCACAGCTCTACTCAAGAAGTGACACTTCTGAGGAAATAAAATTTCACTCCGATGGTACAGGAGATAGAAAATTCTTCCAATACCCACCTTCCAAACTTCCCACTCTGCATTCTCTTACTCTCTTCCCTTCACCAAGAATGTCCTTTCCATTTTCTCTAGGTCTATACCTTACCTGTCATTCAGATTCCAATTCACATCCACCCATTCTCTTTCTTTCTTTATAAAAATCAGAATTTATTCTCTCTTCATGAAGAAACATCCCTTCTCTCTCTTACACATGCACACACACACACACACTCACTCAAGTGTTCTAGCTCAATGCGTATACGTTATTTCAAGCCAGAAGCTAATGTTTTCATCAGGTATAGTTTTATCAGTACTCCTATGAAAAGCCCTTGGTTCTGAGGTTTCATATTGTTTCCCAAAACATCCCCCTACAACAGTTATCTTGACTTTTTGGTTTCTCGTTGATTTGTCTCTACAATGTCATTTACAATGTATTATCCACGACGAAATCAAAACGGTCTTTATAAAATACAGATAAGGTCATGTCACTCACTTCTTCTGGATAAAACATTTTGGTGATTCCCTCTGCTCTAATTTTCCCTTACATATTTTACAAAACTGCAAAATCAGGCCTATGATTATCTCTAATCCTGCTTCCATTTCTTGCCATTTCCCCAAATCACAATCACTTCCAGATTTTTAAAAGTTCTACAAATGTCTCAAGACTCTTTCCCCTGCCTTTTGGCTGGATAACATTTAAATATGCTTCCTATCTTAGCTTAGATACTAGCTTTAAAAAAAATCCTCTAAGGTCTCCATTTACATGTGTATATATATATATATATATACACACACACATATATATATACACACACACATGTGTATACACATATATGTGTATTTATACACACATATGATATGTTCTTCCTCTGTGATATCACAGTATTCTATATTATCATCATGTCATTGCAACTAGAACTCTTAATTGTGAACAATGAAAGCTGAACTCTAATCAAAGAAGTATACAAATATTTAAAAAATTAGGTCACAGTAACAGTCTCTGGGATAGTTAAAAGCTGGGACTTAGAGATTACCATGCCAGTGATAGTTCTGTCACCTCCCCTGTGGGATGATTCCAGTAGAGACACTACTGCCATAGATGGGCAGAACTACTACTGATGCTGGACACTGGGTGCTACAATTAGGAGCGCAGCCTCTGTCTCTGATTGGTGGAGTCCAGGTCACATGTTTGTTCCCTCACTATAAGGCAGCCTGGGAAAGTAAACTCTAGCTTTAACTTGAGGAGTACTCAAATTAATTGTTATACAGTTTTATTAAAGAACTCTACGGTGACTGGCCATAATGCTAAATTTTAAATGATTAGTGAATTTTAAAAAATTGTACTTGCCATCTGGTTTACTGTGTATCTTATCTTCCTGCGATCCCTTTGAACAATTCCATGAGGGTACAGACAAGTAACTGAGGATTAATAAAAGTGTGTGAAAATAGGAATACAATCCTATCTACAGAACTGTTCATTATACAGAACACAAATGAATGGACAGGAAGTTCAGGCAATGTTTGCACTAATGGCAAACATTAGTGACAAGCAAGGATACTAAAGTGTTTCGTCCTCTGTAAATCACTCACAATCCTAAGTCTGGTTGGAACTCAGGCACTGAGCAGGATCAATATGGCAAGCAGAGAGGGTTAGAAGTGTTACACTGTATTTCCACAACACTCCATGTTTTCACAATTTTAGCATTTACAAAATGTCATTGAATATTTGTTGGTTTTAAACAGAGAATTATAAACCAGAGCAATCCTACAGGGGAGGAGGACAGAGAGGGGTCAAAAGGAGGGAGGAATGTGGGGGGGCTATAGTGATGACAGGAGAGGGAGGGGCATGTAAGCATTGTTATAAAATGAGTAATAATATAAATAGATATATAATAATTAAGTAAAAAAATAAAAGAATATTTGTTGGTTTGGATTACCCTTGCAGAATTATAAGCAGGGACAGTTTGTGTAACAGATATTTTATAAACAACTGCATGAATGAATAACTGAAATAGGGTGAAGTGATTAAACAGACGTGGGGGAGAGAGATGGGCACCAGGGAGAGGAACCAGGCTGCAGTGGGTGACTTGATCAGCTCAGGCTTGATGGGAAACATGGCCATATAATTCCTTTCTTCTAATCCACTTCTCGTTCTTCTTGGGAAGGATTGAGGTCTCTGGAAAATAGCCAAAAAACTCTCATGGGAACCACAACCCCAAATAATGCTCAAGTATCAGAAGGATATGATTTTTTCTCAGTGAAAGCCACTTATGTCCTCCTCCCTCAGCTGAGGGAATGGGAAAGGATTCCCAAAGCCATGACTTTTGGGGGATTTAGAGGGCATATAAAGGCTCCTGGCTTATTCTGCACTTGGTGCAAGATCTCTCAGTTCTCCACCAACAGAAAATGTCCATTCAGTAAGTATCTCTGGGAGACTTTTCTCAATGCTTTAGTAGGTTGATAGTAATTGGACTTTTCAAAAGCTTCTGAAGAATACTGATGACCTATGTAGGGAGGCCTGGGACTTTTTGGAGGATTTGCTTCCCATTTATATATAGAAGCAAATATCCATAATTCAAGCTTAGGTTACAGTGGGGTTTGTGTGACTTAGACTGGATTTTGGAAGCAGTTTTGAAAATAAACATTTTAGTGATCAGACTTCCACTTCTTACTCAGCTGTTTCTTAGATGTAGGATTTTGGGCAAATTACTTAACTTTTATAATTCTAGGCTTTTCCACATATAAAATGACACACTGTCATGTTGTGAGATTTAAATGAGCTAATAACATACCATATTCTTTTGATGGTGTGGGGCACTGAGTAAATGCTTAACAAACTATAATTATCATGATTAGGGAGTCTGGTCAGAGCTCCCATCCTAAGAAGTCAGAAAATAGAGCCTACGTATGAAGACAGAAAATAAATAAACATATTAAATCTGAATCTCTTGATCTGATAAAAAGTTTTTGAAAGTACTATCACTCTTGGGAATTGGAGAAGAAATGATTTGATAGGAAGAGATAATGATATAATACAGATGACTAGCAAAGAATGAGGTACTGACCAAAAAAGCTGTCTTCTCCAAACTCACATGAGTAAAGGAATGAAACTGAAGCAAGAGAATCAATGAGGCAATGCAGTAAGCTGAATGTAGGATTGGGGCTGGGTAATTCTGTCAGAAGGACTATCAGGAAGAGAGTCAGAATAATTTGATTTATCTTTAGAATAATTTGATTTGTCTTTAGAATTTCCTCTCATCTACCTTTTCTTTACTTCTCTAATATGGAAAATTGCTACTTAATTGGAATTCCTTGAGAACTAGGATTACATCTTTGTCATCTTTAAACTAGTCATTGCCTAGGTCAGTGCTTAGAATATAATATATATTCTATAAATGCAGAAGGCAGTTTCCCTGTCACATTAAAATGGAAGTCAGGAAGTTTTCCCTGACATCCCTGACTCTCCCAAACCTGGATACCTTCTATACTCCTGAGTCCCATGTGCTCCAGCCCAGGTGACACTGAGAGTGATGCATTAGCATAGAGCCACAGAGAACTTTTTCTCTCAGAAAAAGTTCTGTCTCGTGGTCTTTTGTAAGTATTAAAATTATTCCATCATGCCATTATTCTCCCTCATTATTATACTCTTCCAGAGTTGAGCACCCTGCTGGTGGTTACAAGAAACTGTTTGAAACTGTAGAGGAACTGTCCTCACCACTCACAGCTCAGGTTACAGGTTGGTCTCACTAATCTTGAATTCATTGAATCTCTGAGGTCTGTCTTCTCTGTCTCCTTATTCATTGGTACTGCTCAGAACTGGCTTCCCCTGTGAGGAAATCTGGAAGTTTGCTTTTTTATCATCCAAGAACCCATTTCCTCTCATCTACCTTTTCTTTACTTCTCTAATATGGAAAATTGCTACTTAATTGGAATTCCTTGAGAACTAGGATTACATCTTTGTCATCTTTAAACTAGTCATTGCCTAGGTCAGTGCTTAGAATATAATATATATTCTATAAATGTCAGTTCTGTAAGTATCTGGACAAATAAAGGCCCTTTGACATGCATGTGGGAAAGTTATGAAAGGTTGGTGAATTTCATGTCGACTATTTTGGAAGAGTCTCAGTTCAGGAGCCAGACAGATGGAGGGCTGATCACCGATCTACCACTGATCTATAAGCTATACATCACCCAAGTTACTTAAACTTTCTGAGCCTCAATTCCCTCAACTACCAAAAATCAAATTTTACCTCATAGAGATGTTATGAAGATTAAATTTGAGAATGAGAACAAAAAGATTCACCCAGTATCCAATATAAGTGATCTATATATTATAGTTATTGTTACTATTGTTATCGTTATCCAAAGACACACAATGAACCATACACATCCTTCCTTGAACAGGAGTTGTGGGAAGGGCCAAATAATGTCAAGTATTTCCACCCAATTTACTCTTCTGCAAAATAAAAGGGATAAGTCAAATGTTCTTTCTGTATTAGACACTAGAGCAAGCAATCTAGGTTCTTACAATTAATGTGCCTTTTAGTTAAACTAGGCTTTCTTTTCAAGTATTTTTTAGGATTATAAATCCTTATCAAGTGGGCTGTAAAATTAAGCTGTAGGAAATAACCCATGTTATTAAAAAAAGAAAAAAAGGAAAAAAAGAGCAAACAGTGCCAAACATTGTACTTCTAAGTAGATAGAAGGATACAAACATAATTGCTTCAACTAAAAGAACTTAAGGTCTTTCTCGTGTTCCTCATTTTGCAGATAAAACTGAGGCCCAGATATGATACATGGCAAATCCTAAATGAGAACCAGATTCCTGACACCCAGCCCGGTGTACTTTGTGCTACTGCAGGCTGTAGAATGTAGCCTATACCATCAAAGAGATCTAGTTATAGCTGTTAAAAGCCAGTTTTCTTCTTGTTTCATTTAAAGGATTTCTTCTGTAAACACATTTATTTTAAGTGTTTTGATCCTTACTCTTAATTCTGTCCTCTTACCCACGCTCATCAAAATATGTCAAAGAAATCTGAAATTCTTCCTAAAAGTGATAATGATAAAAAGGCAAGTGTATTGGTTTCTGAGGAAATCTTTTAAGTGGAAAATTCCATTCCCTTTGAGATACTTTTCCCCTCTCCTTCAACCCTTCATTGAAACTCTGAGACAAAGCCACATTTCCCCTACTTGTTCACCTAGTGAAAAGGAGGCAAGTCCTTAGGAAAGAATATGTCATAAGTGCTGCCCAGTGTGAGAATTGGGAATGAAAATCATTACTAGTTTTGTAAAGAAGAAACTCTTTATAAGGAGAAGCTGGTCTGCTATGTTGTTGGGCTGCTGGGCTGCTGGTAGTTAGAGCACTTACCAGGGCTGAGTCTAGACAAGAGCAGTGGGAACAAATAAGATCTGTGTCTCACCTACATCACAGGCAGGATCCCACTCTGGCTTACCGGCAGTCTCCTTCGATGTGGGCCTGGACTCTTTGAAATTGGATCTGAGCCATTTTACCACCTGTTTGATGGGCAAGCCCTCTTGCACAAGTTTGACTTTAAAGAAGGACACGTCACATACCATAGAAGGTAAAAGAGGACTTGATTCCACTATCCCCATCCCCAAAGATGAAGCCTTGCTCAGCTCTTCTCTGTTGTGATTTTCAACCTCCTGAAGCCAAGAGGGAACTTATATATCATTTCTTTTCATAATCCATCTGACAGTGTGAATGCATGGACACAGGGGAACTATAGGGCTAAGAACTAGACTTGGGGGGTCTGATATGTTTGGCTTCAAGATACCATGTGTCAGTTAATCTCTAATTCTTTGCTTTGTTATTTATAAAATGGGAGAAATAATAAAATCTACTTCATTATAAGGATTAAATGAAAACACAATACCTCACTTACAGGAAGCATTCAGCAATAATCATACCTATTGTTATAGCTGTTATACCACTGGCTCTCTTGACTCCTTTTCTTTCTGATGATCAGAAACACCACTGGGATGGAAGAAGATATGTCTCAAAGGAAGAAAGGAACAAATATGTATTGATAATACTGATACAAGGAAGAGAGTTTTCTTAAAAATAGGAGAATATATTGGCCCTCCCTGGTGGCGCAGCAGGTTAAAGCACAGCACTGAGAAGCTAAAGCCACTTGCGCATGAGTTCAATTCCCGCCTGCCCCGGAGGTGACCACATGGTGTGGCAGACCTCTCCTGACCCGCCCGCTGCTCCCCTCAGCAGTGTACTTCGTCGATCTGCCTGTTCTGCTCCTCACTCTGTCTCTGGTGAAGCCTCTCGCTGCCCCTGAGCCTCTGGCCTGTACCCAAGTTCTGTATGAACAAATAAAAAATCTTTAAAAAAAATAGGAGAATATAGCAAAAATTTTGAAGAACTAAGCAGTCAAAGATCACATTAACACCACAATAAGTAAACTATCTTGTGCTTTAATATTCATACCTGTTAGTAGCTTGGCTGATGACCATAAATTTATACACTGGAAATAGACATTAGAAGGAGGAGTAAATGGATGCTTGGAGTAGTCAGGACAAGTTAGACTGCAATAGAAGAGAAGTAGATGATGTCAAGCAGAAAATTAGCTATGAAAGCTGATTTTGAAGGTCAAACAAAACTTTCATATGCCTTCTAACCTCCTTTGTACATATTCATCTTTATGAAAGTAAAAAATCAGATTTTAATTAGCTCTCCACAGAAGAAATTCTGGGCAACATCTGGATTCCAGAATACTTACTTTTAAAAGCCATGAAATTAATTTTTTTAGGAGAAAGTGTTTTTATTTTTGTCAACTACTTTAGAAAAAGACAGCATATTAAATTTTGAGAAAAAATTCAAGGACACTAGAGAGATTCAAAGAAATATAAGCAACATCATTGCTTATATTTCCCTAAGAAGAATAGATGGGTTTTAAGTTCACGAGGTCAGAAGTCTTATGGTGGCTGTGTGTTATAATATAGAAAAGATATGTTTTCCAGCTTTGGCAACATAAATTCTAAACCAGCTGGGTCACATATGCTAATCACTTAATTTCTCAGAGTCTTAATTTCCTCCTCTGTCACTGTGAAGTTCAGAAGACATGAATTGAAATTTATGGTACATTATATCGCCCTTGATCACCTGAGGAAGTAACCAGACAATTCTTCATTGTTCATGTGATAGATTTATAATAAGGAATGGAATGACCAATCTAAGCGCCATGTGGATTATGCTGTCTATGACCTTTTTCCCAATCTCAATGTCCTTTAGGTTCATCCGAACTGATGCTTATGTACGGGCAATGACTGAGAAAAGGATTGTCATAACGGAATTTGGTACCTGTGCATTCCCAGATCCCTGCAAGAATATATTTTCCAGGTTACTGAAACCACACTACCTGTTATAAGACACTCTACATTAGTCCTTTTCTCTCATGGCTTGAAAAGTTATTGGACTGAAAAATCCATTTGTTTCTGCAGGTTTTTTTCTTACTTTCGAGGAGTGGAGGTTACTGACAATGCCCTTGTTAATATCTACCCAGTGGGGGAAGATTACTATGCGTGCACAGAGACCAACTTCATTACAAAGATTAATCCTGAAACCTTGGAGACAATTAAGCAGGTAGGACGCATACCTCAGGCAACCCTGCTCAGGAATTTAGAATTGCAACTTGGAATTAAATCAACTGTGCAATTTGGTGGAAAGAACATGAGAGCCAAATAAGTTTCAGATCCTTGTTCTGTCATCAGTTACTATCTTGTGACAGAGGGCAAACCTTGATTCTTCATGAAATTTTAAGCATACTATGGATTGTAGAAAGCCATTTAAAAAGACTAACATATTCATTTGTGACACAAATATTTATTGTTTCACTTCTATGTACCGGAATATATATTATGCAATGGATATACCAATGAGTAAGTAATATGGTCCCTGCCTTTCATGGCTTATGGACCTGGCACATAAGTGGTACTAAAATATTATAGCAACACTGTTAACCCTACCATTCATGGTAAGTTATGTTACACAAGTCTGCCCTTTGTGGACATTTTTATTAGAACTAAAACTAGATCGCAATTTTATACAATTCAGTCTAATGTAATAAGGGCCTATAAAAAAATTCCAGAATTCAAGATTATAATTGTTTAAAAGGCAGCTTATATGTACAAAAGGAGAGCTAGTAACTAATAACTAATCACAGCAGTATTCGGTATACCTCAGTTGAAGAGCACAGTGAGGGAGAACTAATCTTCCAGAAGCAAAAGGCTAGCTAGTATAGGGGTCAGAGGAGAGCTTTGCACTGAAGACTGAAGAGAGTTCAGGTAGAACTAAAATAGTATACGGCTTAGGAAGATGGAAAGAAAGAGAAAGTGGACTTGGGGTGGAGATGCAAACAGTAGCTATGAAGTCAGACCTAGGTACCAAAGGTGTAAATTAATCTTTCTCTTGTCACGGATGACATTTTCTCTCCCTCTTTAGGTAGATCTTTGCAACTACATCTCAGTCAATGGAGTTACTGCTCATCCCCACATTGAAAGTGATGGAACTGTTTACAACATTGGTAATTGCTTTGGGAAAAAATTTTCAATTGCCTACAATATTGTAAAAATTCCTCCATTACAAACAGGTCAGTTTGCCAATTTAACTCCCCTTAAAATGAGATTCTATATTGTAGAAAATTATTAAAAATTCAGGATGCCATGAGGTAGCACATGAGATACAGTTAAATTACTGTTATATTTTAGGATAATTGCCCTTACCCCTACTTTACTGAGGAATAAATGTTTAAAGGCACCACAGCAGGAAATAACAACTTGAAAATACAGAAAGAAGGTGGTCAAATTCTATTCCATGATGTTTCACATACATAGTATATATCTGGATTTGAGAATAGAAGATTTAGGTTCAACTTCAGCAAACATTTATAAGAATTTATTCAAGTAGCAGGCAAAATTAAACTTTTTTAAAGATTTAATTATGATACAAAACTAGGGTACAGGACAGAGGTGCAGGGGCAATGAGAGGATTCACCAGACAGAGTGGGGAGAAGAACAGGCTGATTGACAGAGTGTACTGCTGAAGGGAGCAGCGGGTGGGTCAGGAAAGGTCTGCTGCACCATGTGCATCAGGGCAGGGATCAAACTCATGCTAAAGTGGCTATAGCTTCTTAGTGCTGTGCTTTAACCCACTGCACCACCAGGGAGGGCCCTAAATTCTTAAATAAACATGTTTACAATAATAGCATACACATATTTATAAGTGTACTGACCATTTGGGGTGTGTTTAATTTCTGAACTGCCAGCAAATATAATACTTCTTAGAATTTCCCATTTATTGCCAGAAATTCTTGATAGACTTACTTGAGTATGCCTAGACTTTTGTTTAGTATTGCTTAGAATAGTTATTGAAGCTTGTTGAAGCTTAGTCTCTGGACTAGCAGCATTACCTGCAAATCAGCTAGAAATAAAATTTTAAGCCCAATGTAAGGCAGGGTACATGAATAATTATGGAGGAGGACCCACAATTGGTATTTTAAGACTCTTTTTATGTGATTTTGACACACACTAAAGTGTGTCTATGATTCAATAGTAAATAAATTTTGAAGCACATAAGAATATTGTACAGAGCTATTGACACAGCCCCATCTATACTATATTTTATAGGCAGTTTAAGAGATTGTAAACACCACTCTGACCACACTAAAGTTTTATTTACTTCCCTGACTTAGAAATCACCTTCATTTGTTATAAGACTAATCCAACTATTCTGCCTGCCACAATGCTATGTTAGTGCAATTTTCCAAACCTGCTGCTATTTAGATGTTCATGGGTGATTGCAACGTCACATAAGATTTTGTTCAGAAATTCAAATGACTGGGAGATGAAAATAAACTAAAAACTATCAAGATCTGGCATGCATTTCTTTGTTTGCATAAACTTTTAAATGTTTTGTGTTTAACAAAAGAGAGAGAGAAACTATTTCAAAGCCTTTTAAAATCACTTTATTTCAGACAAGGAAGATCCAATAAGCAAGTCAGAGGTCATCGTACAATTTCCCTGCAGTGACCGATTCAAGCCATCTTATGTCCATAGGTAACTTGAAGGACTACTATAAATCTTCAGGAAAACTTAAATTTAAAATATGCTTTACCTACCTTTGATACCAATATTGATTATAACATTTTCTTTCAGAAATCTATACTTAAAATGTAATTAATTTCCTATAGGATCTGTTGATTCATGTAACTAAGCATATCTCAGGTGTATATACTTCTTTGTGGTTTTAAAAATCAGCTTTTCTCATTCACAAATCCATCTGTGTTTCTGAATAGTTTTGGTTTGACTCCCAACTATATTGTTTTTGTGGAGACACCAGTCAAAATTAACCTCTTAAAGTTCCTCTCTTCGTGGAGTCTTTGGGGAGCCAATTACATGGATTGCTTTGAGTCCAATGAAACCATGGGGGTAAGTCTTACATGTATTTTCCAGGTTGATATTTCTGGAGATGTCCCATAGTGTACACTTTTTCCTTTGTTAAATGCACCAAAATATTATCCTCACTTTTCAAGGTTTGGCTCCATATTGCTGACAAAAATAGAAGAAAATATATTAATAACAAATATAGGACCTCTTCTTTTAACCTCTTCCATCACATCAACACCTATGAAGACAATGAATTTCTGATTGTGGATCTCTGTTGTTGGAAAGGGTAAGGAAGGATGTTGGTTGAAATGTTACTTCTTAGTAGCTCCTGAAAATTAAGGACCTTTTCCAAGATGGTTCCATCTTTGCAAATTAGAGTTATATCTTAAAAAGCAGGAAGTACACTTAAATCCCAAAATATAATTGAGAAGGCAGTAGTGAGTTCATGTAATCAGAAACATCCACCAATATTAACACCCACACCATGGTTAAGGGGAAAACCAAGTAGGCAATTTGGTCTATGAACCAGAAACTGAAAAATAGTTTCTGTGACCTGTTCAAGTGAACTTCATCTCCATTTAAACTCGACAAGATCTAAGTTGGGGTTGGGAGAAAGGTATACTTTCTTCAGAATAGCCACATTACTAAAATAAAAAAAAAGTATCCCCCCAAAATACAAATGGAATGAGAATGATAAAGATGAAGATACAGAATAGGAATTATTAAAGTTTGCTGTTACTTAATCATATCCATGAGGCAAATTTCTTTGCTTTTACCCAATGTAGTCAGAGGAAATGGTTCTAATATGCCTGGGCCATTAGCAGTTTCTGGGCTGGAGAATAAGAAAACGCAGGCACGTGTGCTTTCAAAAAACATGAATCATCTCTCTAAAATTATTTGTATTTGTCTGTGCTCATCCTTGACTTCTTATTTTTGCAGGTTTGAATTTGTCTATAATTATTTATATTTAGCCAATTTACGTGGAAACTGGGAAGAGGTGAAAAAAAATGCTAGAAATGCTCCGCAGCCTGAGGTTAGAAGATATGTACTTCCTCTAAATATTGACAAGGTAATTGCCCTCTATGAGATTTCAGATGTAACCAGAATGTTTCATCTCTCTCAGGATTTTATGCTTTATTATGTTTATACACATAGTCTTGAAATTTCAGAGGTGGAAGAAGCTTAAAAATTAATTACTTCAACTCCTTTCATTTTACAAATGAGAAAACAAACTTAGAAAAATGGCATGATCTAGCGAAAGCCAACTGTGGCAGAGCCAAAATGAAAACCAGGTTTTGAGTCTAAATCTATTCTTTCATCTGCAAATCTTTGATACTTTTTTTGATGATTAGTACAGACTACTGATTCCTAGGATCCTTTGTCAATACTAAACATAAATTAATTCATAATTTGAAATTCTACAGAAAAGAAGCATCAAAAGTGTCCTTGTTAGGAAATAGCCTATTATTTCGGTTTTCTACAAATCTTCTTAAAATATCACTAGAGCATCAAAAGCATTAAAAATTTTAGATATCACTATATGTCTACCTTTTTCCCCCCTGTATTCAGTGACTTTCTTTTTAAAATATCAGCCCAATATCAATACTTGTTTTAGTGTGATAGAAATACCCATCAAAATCAAGAAAAATAAAATTTCATAATAGATGCATGAGCATATACTTTCTTTCATGTCTATATGAAACATCTACACATAAGTGGGTGAGGCAGCTACATGGAATATAAAACATTGTACTCACATCTTAGATCAGATGCAATAGAAAGTAAAATTGATTTAGAACCAGACACTACTGCTCTTAAGTAAGTTATTTTAAAGAATGAGAAATGAAACATATTTAAATGGGACATTACAATTAGGTAAAAGTTTCTACAAAAGTAGAAAGGAACATATGTATGTGTATATATACATATACATATATGAAGTGCAGGGAAGGGAATTAGGGAACTGGGATAAGAGACAATTAAAATCAGTTGATAGAGGCC